GGGTGTGTACGCGCCGCAATAGCGTTGTCGTAACTTCGGTGCATTTCGCTGCCTTGTGCGCGTGTGGTTTCTGTTGTTTGGCTTTTCACCGCGCCCTGGCCGTTCAAGGCGGCGGAGGCTCCAGCGACCAACAAAAACAAGAGGGGAAATTGTGGTGGAGAAGAAGTTTTAGGAGGAAAGAGTTCGCGTGGATTGTGTGTCGGAAACGACGGGGAAGAGTTCTCTGAATGAGAGTGCTTGGCCTGGGGATGGTGGGGACTAGGAGGGAGCTTGCTTTGCATGGGGGGACTGTTCGAGGCTGCATGTTTCGTGCATGGTTGCGTGATGATAATTTGGAGACAGGAGCGTTGCAGCCAATGCCGTCGCATGTCGTTGCTTTTGCGGGTTTTGCAGTCCAGGCAGGCTTTGCCGGCAATCGGGTGTTTGTGGGATTGCCATATGGTGTGCGGGTTTTCATATCAGTGCTGGTTGTCGCACGGAGTTTGCAATGCGTTGGTGTTTGGGAGTGTGCTGGAGTTGGAAGTGTGAATGCCACCTCCGTGTGTATAGCGGGCTTTGTGGGTGTTGCAGTGTGTGCTTATTGTTTGGACACATCCTTGGATGGTGGAATGGTGTTGTGGGTGAGTGCGAAACACGGGCGTCGAAGTATTTGTTCCCAACCATCCTGTGGTGTTGGGTCCTCGTTTTGAAAAGAGGGTCCCCGCGTTCCCTCCTTCCTTCCTCCCCTCCCCCTCCGTCCGTGCGTTTCACCCACCCAGTACAGCGTTTCGTGGCCCCATAGGGAGCTCCACCGAAGCCCCCAGTGGGGCCGTCCGCGTGCGTCCTGGAAGCCCCAATTTGGCATTTTCACTCACCACCTACAGCGTTTCGTGGCCCTATAGGGGGCTTTCCCAAGACCACCAGTGGGACCGTCTGCGTGCGTCCCAGAAGCCCACTTTGGCAATTTCACCTACCCAGTACAGCGTTTCGTTGCCCTGCAATTAGGGCGCTCCACCGAAGCCCCGAGTGGGACCGTCCGCATGCGTCCTGGAACACCCACTTTGGCATTTTCACTCATCCAGTACAGCGTTTCGTGGCCCCATACCGAAGCCCCCAGTGGCAGTGGGACCGTCCGCGTGCGTCCTGACAGCCCAATTTGGCATTTCCACTCACCCCCTACAGCGTTTCGTGGCCCTATATGGGGGCTTCACCAAGACCCCCAGTGGGACCGTCTATATGCGTCCCAGAAGCCCACTTTGGCAATTTCACCAACCCAGTACAGCGTTTCGTGGCCCCACAATTGGGGCGCTCCACCGAAGCCCCGAGTGGGACCTTTCGCATGCGTCCCGGAACACCCACTTTTTGGCATTTTCACTCATCCAGTACAGCGTTTCGTGGCCCCATACCGAAGCCCCCAGTGGGACCGTCCGCGTGCGCCCTGGCAGCCCAATTTGGCATTTTCACGCATCCAGTATTGGTATTTCGTGGCCCCATAGGGAGCGCCACCGACGCTGCCAATGGGACCGTCCGCGTGCGTCCCGGAAACTCACTCTTTGGCATTTTCAGCCACCCAGTACAGCGTTTCGTGGCCCCATAGGAAGCCCCACTCATGGCCCCACTGGTACCGTCCGCATGCGTCCCGGAAGCCCAATTTGGCGTTTTCGCTCGCCCACTACAGCGTTTCGTAGCCCCACAGGGAGCTCCACCGAAGCCCCCAGTGGGACCGCCCGCATGCGTCCCACACGTTCAATTTGGCATGTTTTATTTACCCAATACAGCGATTCGTGGCCCCATAGGGAGCTCCACCGAAACCCCCAGTGAGACCGTCCGCGTGCGTTCCGGAAGCCAGGCATGTTCGCTCACCCAGTACAGCGTTTCGTGGCCCCGTAGGAAGCTCCACCGATGCCCCCAGTGGGACCTTCCGCATGCGTCCCGGCAGCCCTTTTCGGCATTGTCACCACCAATTACAACGTTTCGTGGCCCCGTAGGGAGCTCCACCAAAACCCCCAGTGGGACCGCCCGCATGCCTTTTACACGCTTCGTGGCCCCATAATTAGGGAGCTCCACCGAAGTCCCCAGTGGGACCGCCCGCATGCGCCCCCCCCCAGCAAGTGCAGCGCCTCGTGGCTCCATAGGGTTCCGCCGAACCCCCCAGGGGGACCGCCCGCATGCGTCACACACACACACACACCCAAGTAGGTAAATGCCCTCACCCAGTACAGCGCTTCGTGGCCCTATAGGGACCTCCACCGACGGCCCCAGTGCTACCGCCCGCATGCGTCCCCCCCACCCAGTGCAGCGCTTCGTGGCCCCATAGGGAGCTTTCGCCGAAAAAGACATTCACAATTGCGGTACCCACAACTGCATATGGTTGGGTCCAACGCCAGGATAATTTCCTGTGTGCGGTGGTTCTCGACCGTGTACGTGTCGGAACCTGTGGGTGTGTACGCGTTGCGAAAGCGTGGTCGTGAGTTGTTTGCAAGAGAGTTCTCGGTATGAATGTTAGTGGGATGGTTGTTTCTCAGGTGGGAGTTTCTTTCTCGGCCGGGGTTTTTTGGTGTGCAAGTGTCCGCAATTGTTGCCGGCGTGTGGGTTTGATATTTCGCAATGTGGCGCGGGGCCAGTGAGGGGTGTCGGCAAAGCAAAGCGAGCGCAGAGCGGGCGCAACCCCAGAGCTGGAGACGTCGCTGGGTGGACGCGATGTGTGTGTGTATATATATATATAGATATATATAAGAATATGCATGCATGTCTGTCTGTCTGTCTGTCTGTCTGTCTGTCTGTCTGTCTGTCTGTCTGTATGTATGTATGTATGTATGTATGTATGTATGTATGTATGCGTGTATGCCTGTATGCATGTATGCATGTATGCATGTATGCATGTATGCATGTATGTATGTATGTATGTATGTATGTATGTATGTATGTATGTATGTATCGATGTATGCATGTATGTATGTATGTATGTATGTTAATTTGTATGTACGTACGTACGTACGCACGTACGTACGTACGTATGTATGTATATATGTATGTATGTATGCATGTATGCATGCATGCATGTATGTATGTATGTATGTGTGTATGTGTGTATGTATGTATGTATGCATGTATCTATGTATGTATGTGTGCATGCATGCATGCATGCATGCACGCACGCACGCACGCATGCATGCATGTATGTATGTAAGTATGTCTGTATGTATGTATGTATGTATGTATGTATGTATGTATGTATGTATACATGTATGTATGTATGTATGTATGTATGTATGTATGTTATGCATGCATGCATGTATGTATGTATGTATGTATGTATGTATGCACGTATGTATGTATGCATGTATGTATGTATGTATGCATGCATGCATGCATGCATGTATGTATATAGACAGGCGGGTTGGTATGTAGGTTGGTAGGTAGATAGATAGGCAGGTAGGTAGGTAGGTAGGTAGGTATGTAGGCAGGTGTGTATATATGTATGCATGTGTGTATGTATGTATGCCTGTATGTATATTTGTATGTATGTATGTATGTATGTATGTATGTATGTACGTATGTATGTATGTATGTATGTATGTATGTATGTATGTATGTATGTAGGTATGCAGGTATGTATGTATGTATGTATGTATGCATGTATGCATGCATGCATGCATGCATGCATGCATACATGCATGTATGCATGTATGTATGTAGGTAGGTAGGTAGGTATGTATGTATGTATGTTTGTTTTTATGTATGTATGTCTATATTTGTATATGGGAGCAATGCGACTTGTATTTGGATGGAGTGAGGGCACGGCTGCCCGCGCGGTGAAGGTGAGTTTTTGTTCGTCGTCGTCGTCGTCGCCGTTGTCGTCGCCGCCGCCGCCGCCGTCGCCTCCTCCTCCTCCTCCTCCTCCTGCTCCTCCTCCCCGTCCTCGTCCTCGTCGTCGTCCTCCTCCTCCTCCTCCCTCCTCCTCCTCCTCCTCCTCCTCCTCCTCCTCCTCCTCCTCCTCCCTCCTCCTCCTCGTCCTCCTCCTTTCCTCCTCCTCCTCCTCCTCCTCCTCCTCCTCCTCTTGCTTCTCTTGCTTCTCTTGCTCCCCCTCCTCCCTCTCGTCCTCCTCCTCCTTCCTCCTTCTTGTCCTCCTGCTCCTCCTGCTCCAGCTGCTGCTGCTGCCTGCGCTGCTCCTCCTCCTTCCTCCCCTCCTCCCTCCTCCCTCTTCCTCCTCCTCCTCCTCCTCCTCCTCCTCCTCCTCCGCTTTCTGCTCTCCTGTCCGTTTCTTCTCCTCCTCTTCCGCGTTCTCCTCCTCCTCCTCCTCCTCCTCCTCCTCCTCCTCCTCGTCCTCTCCCCTCCTCCTCGTTCCTCCTCCCTCCTGCTCCTCCTTTCCTCCTGCTCCTCTCCTCCTCCTCCCCTCCTCCTCTTCTCCTCCTCCTCCTCTTCCTCCTCTCTCCTCCTCCTCCTCCTCTCCTCACCTCCTCCCTGCTCCTCCTCGCCATATTCCTCCTTCCTCCTCCTCCTCCTCCTCCTCCTCTCCTCCTCCTCCTCCTCCTCCTCCTCCCTCCTCCTCCTCCTCCTCCTCCTCCTCCTCCTCTCCCTCCTCCTCCTCCTCCTCCTCCTCCTCCTCCTCCTCCCCCTCCTCCTGCTTTTCCTCCTGCTCCTCTCCCCCCACCTATTCCGACGACGACTCCTACATGCTCCCCCTCTGAGGGGTATATGGCGGTTTACCCCGCCCCTGGTTCTTTGCTTGCCCCCCCGCTTCTCCACTCCCCTGGGGCTCATTTCTGGACGGGCTGGTGGGGATACGCGAAGCGTTTTAGAATTTCGAAACGCACGCGAACTTGAGATACAAGTCGGTGCCAGGGCAAAGGGAAGGATGCCCATCGAGATGCGACTGTCTGCGCAACGTTGGCACCGGATCTTCAATATGCGCAACGTTGGCCTAGGCGCTGCTGGAGCGGCTGGCCCACCTGCTGGGGCCGCGGCGGCGCTGGCCGGCAGCCCAGCGGCGGCGCGGGCCGGCAGCCCAGCGCCCGCAGGCGCGCCCGCCGCCGGCGCGGCCCTCCCTGGACAGCCCTCCGCTGCCCCCCTGGCTCTGGCAGTACGAAGAGCAGCAAGGCAGGCGGCAGCGCCGCCGAGGCAGCCGCTTCCAGACTTCGGAGCAGCAGGGCTGGACGCGGCGCCGCCGGCAGCGCCGCCCGCTGCTGCGCCTGCCGCGCCTGCTGGTCCTGCTGCGGCCGCGGTCGCGGCACTGGGCGGCGCGTCAGACGCGCTTCGCCACCTTTCGGCCGCCGGCTGGGCCGGCTTGGACACGATCGACTTGGTGGAAGAATTTGCAGTCGATTGCCCGACGCTTCGATTCGTCCCGACTGGCGCACGAGCAGCCGCAGCCAAGGCTACAGACGAGATCTGCCGTGCCGGGCGTGGAAGCTTTGACTGCTGCGGGGGCGATTACTCTTTGCAGCGCCTCTTCGCACGCGTCGAGGCCAGCGCCAACACAGGGCCACGGTGGCCGACTGGGCGCAATTGGTGCGGCAGCGCTGCTCCGCCCTGCAGCTCGGCGACTTGGCGGAGCTGCTGGCGGGCGCGCGGCGGGCGGCTGGAGACCTCGCCAAGAGCCGGCGCGAGGGCGGAGCGGGGCCGCAAGACGAGCATCTCCTCGCCGACGCGGTCTCGCCGACGCGGTCGTGCGGAAGGCCATGGCGGAGGAGTGTTCTCGAGCGGCCGCCTTGCTCTGCAGCCCCGGCCTTGCGCCGCAGACTCCCGAGAGCGCCGAGCAACTACAGGCCCTGCTGCAACCAGCGGCGGCGCGGCCGCCTCCCGGCGAGGCGCTCTTGAAGGCACCGCAAGCGCGCCCTCCGCAACAGCCCCAAGGGCAGCGGCGCCGCCGTGGGAGGCGGGCGCTTCGAACACTGGCGGGTGGTGTTGTGAGAGCCGCGAGCGCGTGGCGTCCTGTGCCAGGTGTGCGACAGGATCGCAGAAGGCCGGGTGCCGCAATGCGTGGCGGGGGCGCTGGCCCTCTCGAAGCTAACGCCGCTGCGCAAGGCAGGCGGCGGCGTTCGGCCTATCGCAGCGCCCAACATCCTGCGACGCCTCGTGGGCCGCGCCCTGGCCCAACCGCGCAGGGAGGCTTTGGCCGCAGCTCCCGGCGAGCAGCAGTGCGCCATCGACACGGCCGCCGGCACGGAGCTCCTCGCCCACGCTGTCCGCGCCCTGACAGAGACAAACCCGAGCCTTGTCATGGTGGGAAGCGATTTCTGCTTCATCCATCGGGGCGAGTGCTTGCGCGAGCACCGGAGCTTCTGTCTTACGTGGAGCTCTTCTGCCGGCGGCAGTCCCAGTACTTCTTCTGGGACTGGGCGGGGGTCTGCCACCGACTCCACTCGACGGACGGCGTGGCCCAGGAAGACCCGCTCTCACCGCTGCTTTTCTGCAGACGGCGATGCTTGCTTCGTACGGCCCGGAAAACATAGGAAGAGTCACGGGGGGCCTCTGCATGCATTCTCACCTTGTTGTGTCGTTCACATGTCACGTGCATGCCTTCTCGTGTTGTGGCAGTTGGCGCTGCTTGCATTGTTCACGCATTCGCAGGTCATTGCGTTGCTTGCCTTGTGGATGCACCCCTCGTCGCTGCAAGTTTTGGGTTCGAGCCGCAGGGTTCGGGAAAGCATCAGGGTCAGGGTTCCGCACCCTGGTCCTTGAACTTTGGGACCTCCCCCCGGCGGCAGCCAGGCCGCCGCTCCGCCGCAGCGGCAGCCCGCGGGAGCGCTCCCGCTCCCGCTACCGCCTCCGCCCCCGCGCCGACCTGCGGCCGCCGCCCCAGCGCTCGCAGGAGCGCGGCCGCCACCGCTCGCAGGATCGTTTGGCTCCACCTTTGGGCCGCAGGGTCGATGGAGACGACGAGAGAGGTGGCGGGCCTGCAGAGGCGTCGTCGGCCCCAGCCCGAGAGGCAAGGACCCTTTTTTCACGACGAGACGCCGAGTCCGCAGAGGACTTGATGCGGCGCCTCAGCCCCGCAGGGGTCTCGGACGAAGAGGTGTGCCGTGTGGCCGGTTTACCGGAAGACCTTGGAGTGCGGGCGGCCTGGCAACTTCGGCACCGCACCCGGACCTCGCCAGGGAGCTGTGCAAGGACCCGTTGACGCATGACGCAGGCCACACCGCATACATTTTAGTGTGCGAAGTCCTACGGAGGCTTCAAGCGGAAGCAGCGCCGGGCCAGCCAGCTGAACCGCCTCTGGCCCCAGCGGGTTCCGCCTTCAACGACGCCTCGGTCAAGGCCATGGAAGCCGTGGCGAGGCGCGCGCGCGCCGGCGCAGGGCGACGCGGCAGGTCCCCGTCCTCCTCAGACACAGAGGACCGCAAGACGTCGTCCATCGATGTTTGCAAGGCGCTGCAGGCGTACGGGTTGGAGGGCCTCCCTTTGGAGAACTTCCCGAAGGCCGCCGCCCTGCAGCCCTTGCTGCGGAGGGCTCGCCAGAAAGCGGACCACGGCCGCTTGCCGTGGGTCGCCGGCGAGCTCGAGAAGGAGTTCGAGCCTTTCCGCCGCTCGGTCGACAGTACGCTCTGGAAGGTGGAGAAGGGGCAGGAGTATGCCTCTTTCGCGCATGGGCGTCGTGTTGGTGGAGCAGGGGCCTCACGCAGCTTGTTCTTCAAGCTGAGGTCGGGTCAGAAAGCTTGTCCTTCGAGCGCCCGCTCCGCAGGTTCCTTGATCTTTGCCACCTCGCGCAGGAGTCCAACGTCGGCGCGGCCTACGAGTTCGACCGAAGGGAGTGGCAGCAGCTAGCCACCCGGATCGAGGACCGGGGCAAGAGCGCCGACCCGAACGAGATCGTCGCCAGGGTCCACGCGCACACCGAAGCCGAGGTGCGCGACTGGGTTGTCGAGGCAGAAGTGGCCTGCAGAGGCTTCCTCTCTGCTGGGGTGGCCCAGCAGTGGGAGCGCTCCGCGGGCAAAGGGTACCGCGACGGCAAGGGCGGCACGCAGGACTGGCAGGGCGCTCCCCGGTCCGCGGCGACGAAGCCACCGCTTCCGCCGCGCCCGCCCTCCCCGGCAGCGGTCTCGAAGGGCGCCCGCAGGGGCGCCGCCTGAAGCAGCATTAGAGCACGAGCGTCGCAGGACGCTTTGGCCCCGCGGGGCAAGCCGTTTGCGGATGACGCCCGAGTGCTGCGCAAAGTGCAGAAGACGGCGGATAGCCAACTGCTTCCTTCCAGCGAGGCTGCTGCGCCGCGCCGAAGGCAGGAGCCTTTGCCGATTGTTTCTCCTCCTCTTGCCCCCCTCTCCCCCTGCCTGCCTCCCCCTGTCCGCCCTCCTCTTGCCCCCACCTCTGGCCCTCGACAGCAATCGTGCCCGCAGGGGCTTGGTATTTCAGAATTTTGTGCAATTTGCAAACCGGGCTGCAGGGCTCGCTTACCAGGTCAAGCGTCGCAGGGCGCATCTGTTCTTTCTTCGCAAGTGCCTTGTGGCTCTGCCCGCCAGCGCCTGGAAGAACGCGTTGAACCGTCAGCCAACGGGGCGTCGCCGCAGGGCGGTCTGCTCAGCCCAGAGCAACACATATTACGGTTTTGCGCCTCCACGTCGTGCTTGCACAAAGTTCCCCCTCTTTGCCCGGACGTTCGTCGAAACATCTGTGCAATAGCGGACAACGCTGCCGTAGTGGCGTCCCGCCGAGAGCAAGAGTTGGAATTCTGGCGTGAGCGGGCTGCCGATTTGGAGCCTGCCCAGCGGCGGTTTCAGGACAGCGTGCCAACGCAGTACCAGCCCAACCTAGGAAGAGTCCACGTGCCACTGTTGGAGGACATTGTGATTGCCGCAGGGCGCGAAGATGCGAATTTCATCCGCGATTTGACCCAAGGGTTCCCAGTCTCTGGGCTCTTGCACGCAGGTGGGTTGGGCAGGCCCACAGGCGTGCCGGTTTGGTCGGGGGGTTGGGAGGCTTTCAACGGCGTGCCAGATCTTGAACATCTGCGCGCCCAATTCCAGGAGATAAACATGCGAACGCTCGCCCAGGCAGTGCCGGGCCCACTCGCGGCCGAAGTGTGGGCAAAACGTAAATCTGAGATGTGGGCGGGCAAGGTCGGCCCTCCGCTCGCTCTCCAGGACGTAAACCTGGGTGAGATACTTTTGGTCGAACGTTTTGGCGTCTCTGAAATCAGGGGTGGCCGGTTAAAGGTTCGGGTCATCGATAATTTTCAGAAGAACGAAGTAAATTCTTGTGCGTCAATGCACGAACGGGTCTGGAACGATACTCACGATCACCTCACGCACGCGGTGCTTTCCTTGTTGCGACAGAGTGGCGCGGAAGTTTGCCTTGGAAAAGAAGATTTCGTGTCAGCTTTCAAAACTGTGTGTCCAGATTTCCACAAATCGTGGCTCAGGTGGTGCTTGGTGTACGACACAGACAGCCAAGAATGGAAAGTGTCGGAAATGCGCACGCAGCCCTTCTGGGCAGTTTGTGGTGTTTACGCGTGGTGGCGCTGCGCCCAAGCTGTAAAGTGCATTTCGGTTAGTTTTTTTTTTTTTTTTTTTTTTTTTGTATGTCGACGACGCGTTTCTCGCCGACGTCGAAGCGTGCGGCCCCCGAGCCAAAGCAATCTTTCAGGAGATGGTCGCCCTGCTTGGGTGGGAGTTGGACCTCGACAAATCCGAAGGGATGTCGCGGTCGATTTCTTTGCTTGGGTGCGAGGTTTCCGTGGCCCCGCAGGGGGTGCATTGGCACCTCGGCCGCGAGAAAGTTGTCGCGTGGCAGCGCGAGGTGGCTTATGTGCTGCGTTCAAAATCATTGTCCCCGGCACTGGCGTCGAAATTTGCAGGAAGGTTGGCGTTCGCGTGTCAGCGTTCTTTCGGTCGCGTTGGGAGGTCCTGCGTGCGTCCTTTTTTCTGGCGCGCCGCCCGCGGCGGATGCTGGGCTCTTACAAGCCGGTTACGCGCATGCCTGCGCTGGTGGATCCGTCTGTTTTCTCTGAATCCGGACAGCGCGGTCACCGTGAGGGAGCTCGAACCGGCCCCCTTCGTTGTTTTAGTTTACACAGACGCCGAAGGGAGCGGAGGCGTCGAGGCAGCGGTGATCTTTAAAGCCGGCTGCACGAGAGAATGGGCCATGAGCGCAGTGCCGCGATCCTGGAGGCGCATTTTGCGCAAGAGGGCCACTCAAATCAATGCTTTTGAGTTGTTGGCGTTGGTAGCAGCACTGAACACGTGGAAGGCGCAGCTCGCAGTCAAGCGGATCTTGGTTTTTATCGACAATACTGCTGCTAAGGACGTCATGTTGTCAGGTTGGTCGAGACAACCAGATTTCAACGCAATTGCCGGCGCGGCATGGCTGTCCGTTGCCCAGGCGCAGGCCTCCATCGAGTGCCGGTGGGTGCCGTCGGCGAGCAACCCCGCCGACTGCTTGAGCCGGGGCACGGTAGGCCCGTGGCAGAACCACAAACGGAGGGCGCTGAAGTTGCCCACGCTTGCCGGAGCGCTCGTTGAGTAAAACCATGGCCTTGCCATCCTGTTGTTTCTTCGCTGCCTCTGTCCCGCCCCTCTCCCGCCCCCCCCTCCCTCCTCTGTCCCCCCTCCCCCTCCCCTCCCCCTCCCCTTCCTCTTCCTGGTCCCCCCTCCGCTCCCCGCCCCTTCCCGTCCCCGTGGAGTCGAGATTGTGCATGGCCTTTCCTGCGCACATGTGAGCAAAACCCGGACTCCGCCGTGCACTTGAGTGCGGGACGAACGATTGCCTGGCGGGGGCGGGTCTGTTGGCGGGGTGCGTTCGTGTTTGTCTGCGTGCGTGCTTGTCGTTGTGTGTGTGTGTGTGTGTGTGTGTGTGTGTGTGTGTTTGTGTGTGTGTGTGTGTGTGTGTATGTGTATGTGTGTATGTGTGTGTGTGTGTGTGTGTGTGTGTGTGTGTGTGTGTGTGTGTGTGTGTGTGTGTTGTGTGTTGTGTGTTGTGTGTTGTGTGTTGTGTGTTGTGTGTTGTGTGTTGGGTGTTGTGTGTTGTGTGTTGTGTGTTGTGTGTTGTGTGTTGTGTGTTGTGTGTTGTGTGTTGTGTGTTGTGTGTTGTGTGTTGTGTGTTGTGTGTTGTGTTGTGTGGTGTGTGTGTGTGTGTTGTGTGTTGTGTGTTGTGCGTGTGTTGGTGTGGTGCGCGCGCGTGCGTCTGTGCGCCGCATTGCCCAATCTAATGCACTCGCGTGCCAGCTGGCCGAACGCCGCCGGGTCAAACAGCGTCGCGGGAGGGTCGGCGTCGCGCGGGCCGCCGGGCCCCCCCCCGGTCCGTCATGGCGGGGGCGCTGCGCCCCATATGCCTTGTGGGGCTGCGAGCCGACCGCCCCGCAGCCGCAGCCCCCCGGAGGGCCCCGCCAGCGCCCGTAGGCCTGGCGACCCGGAGGGGTCGCAGCCCCAGAGGGCCGCGGCTGCCCCCCGCACGGGGGGAACGCGCTGCTGTCCGGCGCACGGAGGCGATTGCCGTGCCGCGCGCTGCAGGACAGCCAGTTGTTCGGCGGTCTGCCCCCGAGGGGGTCGACCACGCCAGCGGGCCAAAGCAAGCGGCATTAGAGTCTGCTTTGCGACCGCGGCCCGGGCTCGGGCAGACATGGCTGCAAGTTGTGTCACAGCAGTCCACGGCTTACGACGTCGCGTACGCGGTCGGCGATCTGTGTGAGGAACCCACGCGGTGCGCCGCTCTCCACAGGGAGACTTTCAACGAACGTTTCCGGTCCGCGTTCCCGTGCGAAGGTACACCCCGCCGGCGCCTGGCGGGTCTCAGGGCTGCCCAGCAGGGCGCGTCTGCTACGGTAGTGCAGAACGCGCTCCTCCAGGAGGGGTCCAGGCGCGCTGCGTTGGAGACCATTCGGGGGTCTTGGAGGTCGTTGCGCAGTGCGTTGTACGCCTGGGGTGAATTCTGCGATTCGTTCAGCCTGCCACACTTCCCGGTTACGACCGAAAGCGCCCGCCGGTTTGCCATGTTCGTACCTTGTGGAGCCACCTTGAGCAAATACTTACAGCAGCTGCGTTGGACGCATCGGTTGCCCCCGGGGATTCGAGTCTCGTTTTCTGCAGACGGCGATGCTTGCTTCGTACGGCCCGGAAAATGTAGGGAGAGTCACGAGGGGCTTCTGCATGCATTCTCACGTTGTTGTGCTGTTCACATGTCACGTGCATGCATTCTCGTGTTCTAGCAGTTGGCGCTGCTTGCATTGTTCACGCATTCGCAGGTCATTGCGTTGCTTGCCTTGTGCATGCATTCCTCGTTGCCGCAAGTTTTGGGTTCGAACCGCAGGGTTCGGGAAAGCATCAGGGTCAGGGTCCCACCCCCAGGTCGTTGAACCCACCCACCCGCCCCGGGTGCAGGCCTTGGGCTGGGCTGGGGAATATGCACCGTTAAAGCCTTGTTGGTGCTGGATCGGTGTCGTTTGTGTGCGTGTGTGTGCGTGGCGCGTCACTGGCGCAGCTACGGAAGCCCGCGGCCGCTGCCCCCCGCGGCCGCTGCGCCCCCCGCGGCGCAGGCCTCCGGGGATTCGAGTCTCGTTTTCGCATGTGGGATTCGGCCGCGCCTCCGCGCCCTGGAGGACAGGCTGCGCGCTGCCGCGGTGGCCCAGGGTCTGCGCCCGGACGACATCCGGGTCTAGGCGTACTTAGACGGCGTCGTGGTGCTGGCGCTGCCGGAACTCGCGGGGGCCTTGCTGCCCGCCGCGCAGGACGTCTTCTCCTCCCTCGGCCTCGATTTGCAGCCGCACAAGACCCAAGCCTGGTCCTCGAGCTCGCCGTGTCCACCGGGCCTGGAGGGGCTATGGTGCGCGGACGGGCTGACGCTCGTTGGGGTGCCGCTCGGCGCGGCGCTGCCCGAACACGACCTGCCGGACGAGAGCGACGGGCGACCTCGGCTCTGGCGGCTTCCGCAGCTGCACCTTGCGCCGCGAGCCGCGGCGCTCCTGGGGAAGCTGGCACACCTGCCCACGCACGCCTCGCCGCACCTGGCAGCTGCCCAGACCGTAGCGCTGCAGCTCCGCCACTGCGGCACGGGGAAGCTCACGCACTGCTTGCGGACCAACGCGCCAGCGGCGACGACGGCGGCGGCCGCCGCCTACGACGCGGCCACCCTCGCACGGCACGGCGGCACAACAACGCGACGCTCGATACAACAGGGGGCATTCTCCAGGCAAGCGAGACTGCAACACTTCACCTACAAGAAACGAGGCTTTATCTTTGCAGGCGACCAAAAAGGGATTGGCCAGAGAGAGGGCCCCGCAGACCGGACACAACATCCCCACACTGGACGACAGAAGCGGGAGACAGCAGCACTGCCAACCCCCGAGGCCTAACCACGCACGCACCAAGAGGGAAAAGGCCAAGGTTCGGAGAGCTGCCGGCCCACGTTCGCACGCCAAGCGGCGGAGCGCGCTGCCCAATGGATAGGCAAGAGGTTTCCTTGAGATCACAAGGGGGGGGGCGGCGCCACCGGCCCTCCCGTAGGGGTTTAAAAGAAATCCGGGCGAATCGGGCGAACAGGGGGGGAGAGGTCCCGGGCCAAGGCAGGAGCAAGGAGTGCCTTCCCTCCCCTCAGGCGCACCGTCTGTTTCAGCCCCCCACACCTGTCACGCACTACCTCCTTGCTCTGGAGGCCAACGAAACAAAGCACCAGCAGGAAAGTGGCAAAACACAGAGGCAAGCTATCTGTATCCCATACAACCTGTTGTACTACATCGAGCATGCACCCTATCCGGGCCGCCCAGGTGCCCAAGGGCGAGGGGCAAGAGAACAAAAGACAATGCGCAGACAAAGTTTACTGGCGCGTGCGACGGCAATCAGACCGACGGAAGAGGACAGGGCGTGGCTCTGCGGGGCCCGCCGTCGCAAGGAGACCACCTACCTGGAGCTCCTGGACGCGAGGCGCTGCCGGCTAGTGGTCCTCGCTCTGTAGGTGGGAGGCTGGTGGTCCCAGGAGGTCCTCCAAGTCGTGTGCCTCGTGACGGACTGCAAGGCCCGGTCGGCGCCCGAGCTTCTGCGCGCCTCGGTAAAGGCGGCGTGGATCCATCGGTGGACAGGCCGCACCTCGGTGGCGGCGCAGCGGGCCTTCGCAGCCTCTCTGGTGCACCTGCCCCTGGACGGCCTCGCCTGCGATGGCGACGAACCCCGGTTGCAAGACGTCCTTGCGGACGTGCGCCGCGCCGAAGCCCGCCCCAGTCCCTAGTCGCATGCCGGTGCGCCCCTAAAGCAGGCGGCCCCCGGCGGCGCGAGGGCCGGGGACGACGAACACCACCGCCACAGCACCGCGACTACGACCAGGAGCGCCACTGCCACGACAGCGTCCAGGAGGGTCACAACCACGACGGTGAAATGCTGCACCACCACCACCACGCCGGCGACCAGCTGCACCGCCAACAGCGCCACCACGATGACGACGACGACGATGACCAGCAACACCGCCACCACGACGGCGACTAGCACCACGGACAGCAGCAGCACGACGACGACGACGACGACGACGAGGACGACGACGACGACGACGACGACGACGAGGACGACGACGACGACGACGACGACGACGACGACGACGACGACGACGACGACGACGACGACGACGACGACGACGACGGCGACGACTACGACGACGGCGACGACGACGACGACGACGACGACGACCACGACGACGACGACGGCTGCGGCGGCGACGACGCCGGCGGCGGCGGCGGCGGCGACGACGATGACGACGATGACGACGGCGACGACGACGATGACGACGACGACGACGACGACGACGACGAGGACGGCGAGGACGACGACGACGACGACGACGACGACGACGACGACGACGACGACGACGACGACGACGACGACGACGGCGGCGGGGCGGCGGCGGCGGCGGGGCGGCGGCGGCGGCGGGCGCACGGCGGCGGGGCGCGGGCGGCGGCGACGACGAGACGACGACGACGAAGACGACGACGCGACCCGAACGACGATGACGACGACACGACGACGACGACGACGGACGGACGACGACGACGGACGACGACCGACGACGGACGGACGACGACGACGACGACGACGACGCGACGGGACGACGAACGACGACGACGACGGGGGGGGGGGGGGGGGGGACGGCGGCGACGGACGACGACGACGACGACGCGACGACGACGACGACGATGACGACAAGACCACGACGACGCCGACGCGACGACGAGACGACGACGACGACGACGACGACGACGACGACGACGACGACGACGACGACGACGACGACGACGGAGTTGCTCTCGCTGGAGTTGCTGTTGCCGTCGTCGGCGTCTCCCTCCTCCGCGCCCGCGTTTCCGCCGTTGCTGCCGCTTTTCGGGCTTCCTCTTTCCCGTCCTCCGCCGCCTCGGCCTCCTGACGCCTCTTCCTCGTCTGCGTTCACTGGCGCCTCCCCTTCTTCTGTCTCCGGGAGCGTCTCCGCCCGCCCCGGCGGCGGGGCCGTTCGCTTGCTGGTCTCCAGGCGGTTCCGGTTCCGGGGGCGCCTCTGGCGGTGGGGGTGGCGGCGGAGGCGCAGCGTCTGCCCAGAGCTGGGCTGCGCAGTTCGTCAGCGCGTACGTAAACTCCTCGTGCAAGCACGCGTCCGCCGACTGCTTCGAGGGGGAGGTCTTGCATTAGCGGCTGTATGTAGCCTGTGCTGCTGTGCGCCAAGGCCTGGGCGACTGGCGCAGAGAATGCGTGCCCTGGGCGGTTTCCTCTGTCTGCAGCAAGCACTGCTGATGCTTTCCCAGGCCGGGCGTCGGTGTGCGCGGGCATTTGGACGAAGGGCCCTGTTGGTGCAGGTTCCGCAAGCCGCAACGTCTCCACCGTCGGCTGCCACTAGGCCTGCGCGAGGCGTTTTTTTTTTTTTTTGTTTGTTTCCCCCCCCCCCCCCTCCCTTCCTTGCCCCAAGGCTGCCGCGTCCCCTAGCGGCCAGTGCGGACCCCCCGCGCGCCCACGGTGAGTGTGGGGCGGGGGCGCGCCCCGAAGGAGCGGGGGGTTTTCGGCCGAAGCCAGGGCAACCCCGAACCTCCCGCCAGCTAGCCGCCCCGCGGGGGGCCTCCCGCTCAGCTGCCCCAAGCCCCTCGGCGCCCCAGGAGCGCCCGGGGCGCCCTCGGCCAGCCGCCGCCAGCCGCCGCCGCCAGCCCGCGCCTTGTGCCGCGGCGCCCGGCCCGTCGCCGCCTGTCGCCGGCCGGCCGCTCGTCGCAGCGCCGCGCCGCCGGGCCTGCCGCCGCCAGCCCGTGCCGCCGCCGCCGCCCTCGGGGCGGCGCTGGCGGCGCAGCTTTCGGCCTCCGCGCGGCCGCGCCGCCGCCGGCCGCCGCGCTTCGCCGCGGCGCCTGGCCCGTCGCCGCCTGCCGCAGGTCGGCCGCAGGACGCCGCGCCTCGCCGCCGGGCCTGCCGCCGCTGGTCGCCGCGCCCGCCGCCGCAGGTCGCTGGGCAGAGGGTTGTGGCTTAGGAAGGCTGAATCCTCCCCCCTCTGCCCGTGAACGAACCTGCGGCGGCGCTGCGCCTCGCGGCGGTGCGTTCGCCCTCCGCGCCGCCGCGCTGCCTCGGGCCAGCGCCAGCGTTTCCTCCGCCGCCTCCGCCGCCGCCGCCTCCTCCTCCTCCTCTGTGCTGCTGGCTGCTGTCGTGGTGCTGCTAGTCGCCGTGCTGCCCCTGGTCCTGGTGGTGCTGGTCGCCGTGGTGGTGCTGGTCGTAGTGGTGCTGGTCGCCGTGGTGGTGCTGGTCGCCGTAGTGGTGCTGGTCGTGGTGGTGCTGGTCGTGGTGGTGCTGGTCGCTGTGGTGGTGCTGGTCGCCGTGGTGGTGCTGGTCGCCGTGTTGGTGCTGGTCATGGTGGTCCTCCTGGTCGTGGTGGTGCTGGTCGCCGGGTCGTAGTGGTGCTGGTCGCCGTGGTGGTGCTGGTCGCCGTGGTGGTGCTGGTCGTGGTGGTCCTCCTGGTCGTGGTGGTGCTGGTCGTAGTGGTGCTGGTCGTGGTGGTGCTGGTCGCCGTGGTGGTGCTGGTCTTGGTGGTGCTGGTCGCCGTGGTGGTGCTGGTCGCCGTGGTGGTGCTGGTCGTGGTGGTCCTCCTTGTCGTGGGGCTCGTCGTGGTGGTGCTGGTCGCTGTGGTGGTGCTGGTCGCCGTGGTGGTGCTGGCCGTGGGCGTGGTGGTGCTGGTCGTGGTGGTAGTGGTGGTGGTCCTCTGGCCGTGGCCGTGCTGGTCGTGGTGGTGGTGGTGCTGGTCGTGCTGGCCGTGGTCGTGCTGGCCGTGGTCGTGGTGGTGCCGGTCGTGGTGGTCGTGGTGGTCCTCCTGGCCGTGGTCTCGCTGGTCGTGGTGGTGGTCGCCGTGGTGGTGCTGGTCGTGGTGCTGGTCGTGGTGGTTCTCCTGGTCGTGGTGGTGCTGGTGGTGGTGCTGGTCGCTGTGGTGGTGCGTAGTCGTGGTGCTGGTCGCCGTGGTGGTGCTGGTCGTGGTGGTGCTGGTCGCCGTGGTGGTGCTGGTCGTGGTAGCCCTCCTTGTCGTGGTGGTGCTGGTCGCAGTGGTGCCGGTCGCCGTGGTGATGCTGGTCGCCGTGGTGGTGCTGGTCGCCGTGGTGGTCCTCCTGGTCGTGGTGGTGCTGGTCGTGGTGGTGCTGGTCGCCGTGGTGGTGCCGGTCGCCGTGGTGGTGCTGGCCGTGGGCGTGGTGGTGCTGGTCGTGGTGGTGGTGGTCATAGTGGTCCTCTGGCCGTGGTCGTGCTGGTCGTGGTGGTGGTGGTGCTGGTCGTGGTGGCCGTGGTCGTGGTGGTCGTGGTCGCCGTGGTGCTGGTCGTGGTGGTGGTCGTAGTGCTCCTCCTGGCCGTGGTCGCGCTTGTCGTGGTGCTGGTCGCCGTGTTGGTGCTGGTCGTGGTGGTCCTCCTGGTCGTGGTGGTGCTGCTCGTGGTGGTGCTGGTCACCGTGGTGGTGCGTAGTCGCGGTGCTGGTCGTGAAGGTGGTGCTGGTCGCCGTGGTGGTGCTGGTCGTGGTAGTCCTCCTGGTCGTGGTGGTGCTGGCCGTGGTGGTGCTGGTCGCTGTGGTGGTGCCGGTCGCCGTGGTGGTGCTGGTCGTGGTGGTGCTGGTCGCCGTAGTGGTGCTGGTCGCCGCGATGGCGCTGGTCGCCGTGGTGGTCCTCCTGGTCGTGGTGGTGCCGGTCGAGGTGGTGCTGGCCGCCGTGGTGGTGCCGGTCGCTGTAGTGGTGCCGGCCGTGGTCGTGGTGGTGCTGGTCTTGGTAGTGGTGGTCGTCGTGGTGGTCCTCTGGCCGTGGTCGTGCTGGTCGTGGTGGTGGTGGTGCTGGTCGTGCTGGCCGTGGTCGTGCTGGCCGTGGTCTTGCTGGCCGTGGTCGTGGTGGTGCCGGTCGTGGTGGTCGTGGTGGTCCTCTTGGCCGGTGCTCCCTCCACGGCGCCCCTTGTCTAAAAGCCCGGCGGCCGCCGGCAGCAGGGGCACGTGCACTGCCGAGTTGGTGCGTGCCTGGAGGGGCGCTTGCGGTGGGGTCCAGCCGGCGAAATGGCTGTGCTGTGGCGGCCTCGCGGCGGCTCGCTCTTGCCCTGCCAGGGGGTCTGGTGGCGGGGCGTCGGCTGCGGCGGCCTGTGGGGCAGCAGGCGCTTCTCTGGTCCAGGCGTCTGGTTCACGCAAACAGCACCTCCATTCGCCTTCGGCCGTGCTGGCTTCCGCGGCCCACGTGCCCAGCTTAAGGCACCTCGCGCGCATCTCGCGTCGACAGTGCAGCGCGCCCCGCAGCGCGGGCGAAGCTATGACTCTAGCCACTGCGTGATCCTCCCGAAGTTATCTCGTGCTGCGATCCCTGGGGGCCATTCCAAGTGGCTGTCTGGCACTTCGGGGGATTCGGGCGGTGGGCCGAGGCTTCGGCAGCAGAGCGCTCATCCCGTGGTGGTGGTTTTTCGCCTCGCGCGTAGCTCCGAAACCCATTGTAATCTGGGGCGGCCTGGGCGCTGGCGTCGCGGGCTGGGGCCGCGTGCCCTCCTGGATTCACGCCGTGGTGGCTACGCGCTTCCTGAAAGGGCAGGCTTGGCGTCCCCTCCGCGCGGCACTGTGGGCAGGTCGTTGGAACAAGCCTGCCGTGCAGCGGAGGTGGGCGAGCCTCCCGCAAAAGTCTGAGCGCGTGGTGGCGTCCTGTCCCGACGCGCTCGGGTCTGACCTCTGCA